AGAAAACGATAAGGGAATTACAGTGAGGGGTTATTACTATTAGAAAGGTAATGGTTTTGGGAAGCTTGGTTTTACTGCTTACTCATACTTTTTGTTTTGTACCCCTTCAGGTTTTAATTGCTGAGTTCGTATCGACGAGGATATATAGCTAATCTTAGTATTGGTGGCTACTTTTAAAGGTATGATTCTTACCCACACTACTATACCTTACTTATGCTCTGACATCTGGTGTGAAATGGGTTCACTCCCACTCGTAGCACACTCTGGTATTTAGACACTTTTAGATTCAAATTTATTCACTTTTTATACACTATCACATTTTATGGCTTCATCACTTTCCAGGTGTCGGGCAACACAGTTCGATTTGGGATCCTATTGGACATTCCGGGTCGAGGTGTCATGAATTCTAGATTTTTGTCGTTAATGGAGTTCATCGTTGTTTTGCAGACCTTCTTCTTTTTCTTTGAAACAAAAATATAGATCCTCATGCTATTTAATTTATATTTTGTATTATTTCGTTGAAAAGTGATCGTCATTATTATTCAAAAAGTATTCGAGGTACTATTTTTCAATTTTTCTTCGTTAGTGGAGTTAATTGTTTGTTTCTCCAGAAAATAAGTTTGAGATCTGCATCTTATTCAATAATAATGATAGATCACTATTTCTGGACTGTAAGAATAAAATGTTTATGGATTTTAAGTAACACTGTTTCTGGAATCTAAGTTATTGTTTCTGGAATCTAAGTCACTGTTTCTGGATCCAAAGGAAATAGACACACTATTTCTTAAATGTAAGCTAGAAAAAAAATAGTGAAATTCATTGTATTTGGATTCAAAGCAAAATAAGCATCATGTTTCTTAAATATAATCAAATGATGTATGAAAGAAAAGAAACAATCAAAGGAACATAGACTGTTTCTGGAATCTAAGTCAATGTTTCTGAAATTTAAGTCACTGTTTCTGGATTTTGGATCTTTTCTTTACAGATACAGTATTTGTTTGTGCATAGAAAAAACAAACACTGTATCTGATTTTTTTTTTTCCAGAAATAGTATTATGTTTTTTCTATGCACAAACAAACACTGTATCTGGAAAGAAAAGAACCAAAATCCAAAAACAATGACTTAAATTCCAGAAACAGTGATTTAAATTCCAGAAACAGTCTATGTTTTAACCTTTGATCGTTTCTTTCCTTTCATGCATCAGTTGATTATATTTAAGAAATATGATGCTTATTTTGCTTTGAATCCAAATACAATGAATTTCACTATTTCTTTTCTAGCTTACATTTAAGAAACAGTGTGTCTATTTCATTTGAATCCAGAAACAGTGACTTAGATTCTACAAACAGTGTTACTTAAAATCCAGAAACAGTTTATTTTTACAGTCCAGAAACAACGATGAAAAATTGAAGAGTAAAGTACAAAAAACTACCTCAACTATTGGTGTCACGACACTTTCATACCTCATTTTTTAAAATTGACAATGTCATACCTCATCTTACAAATTTGTACCAATGTTATATTTTCCGTTAGCCTGCCGTTAATTTGTCAGTTAAATGCTAACATGGCTTGATCCAGACCCCACTTTCTATTAAAAAATTAATAAAATATTAAAAAAACTAAAACAAAAATCATTTAATATTTTTAAATATTAAAATAATAAAGAAAAGTTAAAAAACAAAACCTTTCATCCCTTCCACCCCTCACCCCTTCTCTTTCTCCCCATCTTCATCTTCTTCCCTGCTTAATCTTCAACCAAAAAAAAAAAAAAAAATTTTGAAAACCCATCAACCCCCAACTCCCCCCCCCCCCAACAAAAACAAATCCAACCTTCTGCAACCCAGAAAGAAGAAGAAGGAGGAGGAGGAGGAAGAAGAAAAGAAGAAGAAGAAGAAGAAGAAAAACCCAAATCCCGTTCGCCAGGCCGATTTCGCGGGTGGAGAACCTGGGCGTGGAGAAAATGGGGGGAATGGGTGTGGATTTAAGGAGTGGGGTGTGTAGAGGAGGGAAGAGGGTGGGTGCGGGGGAAGACAATTGGTTTTTTTTTTTTCTTTTCTTTTTTCTGGGTTGCAGCAGATAGGGGGAAAAAGAGGAAAGAAGATGAAGATGAGGGAGAAAAGAGAGGGCACGGAGGGGGGGAAGGGACAAAGTTTTGTGTATTTTTTTTTTCTTTCTTTATCCTGGGTTGTAGCCAAGATTCTACAAATGCTAGGCGCTAGTCGGGCGGCGAGCTGGGGCCTAGCGTCTTGGCGGGGTCTAGACGAACTAGGCGGATTTAACTAATTCCATTATATTTCATGTAAATAAGTGTATGTTTATACTTAAAATATATATAATTTCATTATAAACTACAAAATAGAATGACACATATATTATGAAGTATTGGAACATAATGAAAACATGGGGAACAAGCATATAATGTGTGCTCATTTAAGTATTCGACAAGTCTCTTACAATTTATTGAAAAAAAATAAAATGCAAAATGAAAGTTATCTATTTTCTGCCTAAGTGAGCCGATGCCTAGGCGGGTTTGGGTGGGTGCCTAGCCCGCCTAGGCGGGCGCCTCAGTAGGTCTATAGGCCCTTTCTTAATTTTCAAATGCCTAGGCATTAATCAGGGCGGTGACCAGGCACCTAGCTCCTAGGCGGGGCTAGACAGGGGATTTTTAGAACAGTGGTTGCAACAGATAAGAAGAAGAGGAAAAGAGATGAAGATGGGGGAGAAGAGAGAGGGCGCGCGGGGGGGGGAAGTTTTGTTTTTTTTTTTTTATCTTTTTTTTGGGTTGCAACATATAGGGGGAAGAAGAGGAAAGAAGATGAAGATGGGGGAGAAGAGAGAGGGCGTTCGCGGGGGTCGGGGGGGGGTGGAAGGGGGAAGGGACAAAGTTTTGTTTTTTTTTTTTTTTTTATGGGTTGTAGCAGGTAGGAAGAAGAGGAAGGGAGATGAAGATGGGGGAGAAGAGAGAGCACGCAAAGGGGAAGTTTTGTTTGGTTTTTTTTTTTTTTTTTTTTGTTTAACTTTTCTTTATTATTTTAATATTTAAAAAATATTAAATGATTTGTTTTTAGTTTTCAATAATTTTTTAATAGAAAGTGGATCCCGAATCAAGCCACGTCAACATTTAACTGAGAAATTAACATAAAAACTGACGGAGGTATGACATTGGCACAAATTCGTAAAATGAGGCATGATGTTGTCATTTTAAAAAGATGAGGTATGAAAGTGTCGTGAGACCAATAGTTGAGGTAGTTTTTTGTACTTTATCCAAAATTGAAAAACAGTACCTCGACTACTTTATGAATAATAACGACAATCACGTTTCAACGAAATAATACAAAATATAAATTAAATAGCAAGATGATCTATATTTTTGTTTCAAAGAAAAAGAAGAAGGTCTGAAGAAGGTTTGCAAAAAAACGATGAACTCCTGGAACTCAACCTAAAAAAAGTTAGGAGTAAAATCGACAAATCATAATTTATTATAGTTAGGACCATTTTTAGTTCGACTACTTTAATATGGGTCTTGTACTAATCATTAAACAAAACTTATAACATGATTTTTTTTATTAAAACTAAAACCTTTCAAGCCTTTTTCATTAGTTTTCCTTTTTATTAAACTTTGAGCCTTTTTGGTTAAATAACATTTTAGGATGGTTTTTGGTTAAATATTTGTTGACCCAAGCTCTTTTCATTAAAGCTCCTTAATTATAGGATTTGAGTTTATTGATAAATTTAAGTTTTATTATTAATATATTGTAACTATACAAAAGGATAAAAAGGATAATTAACATTTAAAATTTAAGTTGCATGTAGAAACAAGTTACATAGGTTCAAATAAAATTTTATATTTGTAAATTGTGGAAATATTCACAGATGTATCGAATATCGATAACCGTTATTTTCAATAGAAATGATGGAAATTCAAAATGAAACTTTAGGGATTGTCAAATATTGGTTTGGATGAAATATGAAAGTTTCTAGATGTGTTAGGAATATAAGCAATATTTGTTAATTTTAGCCTAAACTTCACCTTATTTTCATTTCTTTCTATGAATTTTTTTATACTTCCATGAAAGTATCGACTCTATTAGAGCAGTTCCACCGGGGAACTGATAGGCCAGCACCCAGCCAAAAAACCAGCCTGGTACCCAGGCTGTCCACTCCAGCCCAGTATTTTGACTGGCACCCAGTCCAAGCTAGGCAAGAGACCGGCCTAAAATCGACAGACCCACATGCCGGGCCATCTGACGTCAACCGGGCCATCAACCTCCCGCACGATCAACGCGTTGCAGAGAGATGTTGGTGCAGAGCTCCTCGAGGTTGAGGTTGATTCCAGGTTCTTGGTACAAAGCTCCTCGGGGCTGAGGTTGATTCCGGGGCAGAGGGAGATTCCGGGTTCTTGGTGTAGAGCTCCTCCAAATCCGAATTTAGAAAAAATGTGAAAAAAATTATAGAAAATCGTGCAGAAACAATAAAACGACGATCAAGCTCGGGAAACTGAAAGAGCTTAAGAAAATGAAGGAAAAGTCATACCTTTAAAGTTGATGAAGGGCTGGTTCTGCAAAAGGAACAAACCTTTAGAGAGAGAGAGAGAGAGAGAGAGGTGTTATTGAGGCAGGAAGGAGAAAAAGATGAATAAAGCGGTTGGGTGCGTTGTTTGCAAAAATAAGAGGGGAGAAATTGTCTGGACTGCCCACAAATTTACCAGATACCTTCTTTTTTTTTAAATAAAATTATTATTTTTATTGTTTTATAATAAAAAATAATAATATTTTAATAAAATTGACTAGATTATTCTATGTTAGGGGTAGAGATGTATTTGGTCTATTACTGTTCATTGGGGTCTATCACTGTTCACTGAGTGGATAAATGCGATGGGTGCTAGCGCATTTGTGTTAGGGGTGGAACTGCTCTTAGGCGTATACGACCTCGTACATAGCTTTTAAAATTACAACTTTACCCTTCACCTCTAAAATCCAGCAAAGATCCGGTTGCGTTCGTACTTGGGCATATTATACGGACGAAACTAACACGGCGACCCAAAATTTAGAGAGAGAGATGGGAGGACGTGGAGCTATAGAGGTGGCGAAAACGGTGGTGGAGGTTGCTGACGTGGCGTGGACCGCCATGGAACACGGCCGCCATCACCTCCACCACGAGGACCACGACGGCGAGGGAACCAAGTGCGCGGTTTCCGACGAAGAACTGGAGGCTCTGCGGGCGGAGAATCGGCGGCTGAGGAACTCGCTGGAGCAGAATCTGAAGCTGCTCGAGAACCTCTCCGAGTCGCCTGCGGTTTTGGACGATTGCCCTCCTGATGTAAACGATTTGGGGTCGATTTATTTCGATTCGGTACCCTTTGATCAATTTGTATAAAGATTTCGAATTTTGATTCAAAAACTGAAACTGGTATTTGGGTTTTTTTTGAAAATTCAGCTGTATGCTCGGTTAGTGGCGACGGTGGATTCGAACAGCTTCTTGACTAGAATCAAAGCTCTTCAGAAGGAGTCCATTGATGATTATCAGTTTCCTTTCAAACCAGCCACAGGTATACAAATATATATATGTATGTATGTATGTATGTATATGTATAAACTGTTTCAATTCTGTGTAATAATCATTGGGTTTGTTTATAATTCGTGTTTGGATTTTAGGAAGTGATTTGGAGAAAGCTGAAGTTCTAATCAAAATTGACAATGAAGAACCCAGTCGGTGGGTGTGGATCACGGATGATATGATTCCGGGTAAAGTCGAGGAGAGGAGTGGGATTGACAATGAGAGCTATGTTGTTGTTAGTGAGGAGCATGTGGTGGATGGGATTGCCAATTTTATGGCCAAGTGTATTGTGTCAAACCCGAAAGCTCGCGTACGTATCCACTCATTGCTTTTTGGTTGCTGTTTAAATTATGTTGCTCATTTTGGTCTCATGTTGTTTTGCTTCCTTGGAATTGCAGAACTTGACGCCAGAGGAGCTGCAGAAAAGTAAGTTTTTGTTGGTCTTTCTCAGTTGATTCTCCGTGTACTTGTAATGTCTTAACCCAAATATGCTAATAGGTTATTTTCTACGTGAATCGTGTTTAACCACTTAGTTTGCAATCCTCTATACTTTCCATATATCTCAAAAACCAATTGCAGGTTTTGTTGTGCCTTGCAGAGTATGATGAATCGAATAAGCTTGGATACATAACCAAGAAAATGGAATTGAACTTTAGTTTCTTTCCTTCTAGAAATTTCATGTTGCTAATTTGGTCTTTGCATCCCAAACTGGATACTCATCTAAAGTCTTATCTCTGTCATTTAATGATTCTCGGGCTTGACTTTGAAGATTTAGTGGGCAATAGAGAATGCGTCTACCGAAACTCATCCTTGGGAGTCTATAATTTGCAGTTGTAGCTAAAGCGATGGGTGGTGTCAGCAAATTGGAGAAAGTATTGGGCATTTGGCATGCGGGGAAGTTGTTCTATACTTTGTCCACCTGGGGACTTGCTCTAACCGGGTAAGTATTTCTTGCCCACCTTCCTGTTGTGTTAGCCTCGAGGATGTTAGCAATTTTAGCCTTGATTATCTGCTACTTCATGTTCATAAATGGCATACAATGGATGTATTTTCCATCGCTTCTCTCAATTATTATCCAAGAGATAGCATGTACGTACATTTTCCCAGAATGTTTCGTACAACATGTTTCGTCAGAGTAGCGAAAAACTGTTTTGAATTAGGTTGCTCATTTCTTACTAATTTAAGAATGTCATTTGGCTTGTATCACAGATTGTATAGGAGCCGTGCGGTATTAAAATTTGCTGCAATGGGGCTGCACACAACTAGCAAAGCAATTATGAGAGCAATGTGAGGCTCCCTGCCCTACTGCCGCTAAAAACGAAGATTGGAACTGTACAATAACGTCACTGCAGGTTTATAAGAATCCCATTTGATGTAAATAATTGTAAATAGTGCTTGTTCTTGTTTCTGCTATGGTTTCATTGACTGATTTCTTGTACTGAACCATTGATTGATTCCGCGTGTTTCCGCATCCAGTGCAGATGACATGCAACTTTAATGAACTATTTTAGTTACTGAACTGTGTTGTTATATTCCTTCCTAGTGCTAAAATATGTTTAGTATAATGGCACAAGTAAGGGTGTCGAATCCACAGGGACTAATTGGACCTATACAACCACTTGTTCTGCAAGAACCCTATTAGAGAATAAAACTAATCAATTTAGACAGATTTGTTGTTGTAACTTGAAAGCACAAGAAAATGAAGTAAACACAAGTAAATGAATCAACAAATAATAAAATGGGGTAGCACCAATGGAGATGAAGCTAGGGATTCGATTTCACCATTGCTAAACCAAGTCCATGTTTGTTAAGTCAGTTTATACTCAGCCATCTACCTATTTCTTGAGTTTGTTTCACTTAGATATGATCAACCATATGATGTGTGGATTTGATCAAATGTTCCTAATCTTGAACCTAATTGTGATGTGCAACTTCGGTTCCTAATCAAGAATGTGTCACGCACAAGAAACTTTCATAAAACCAAAGGAAACACTCGGCAGGTTGTTTGCAAAACATTCCCTTCATTCATTCACATATCCACCAAGAATATGCATGATGTGTGCTCTAATCTTGGCTAAACAACCTGTGGTTAATTTAAATGGCGATCAAACATTAAAATCAACACACAAAGTCACAATTAAATCAGAGAATGAAACAAGAAAAAGATGGGTCAACTGAGCATTCTAACTTAACTACATGGCAATCTTGCAAGGCTACATCGAATCCCTAGAAAGAGATTAGTTACACTTCCATGTTTACAAGAAGTTTGACATAAAAATATACAACATGAGTGAACATAGAATTAAGGAGAAGGAACCCTTTGAGCAAAACTGATATCGAAATCCCTTAAGGGTGGCCTTCGGCGTTGGCTCTCCAAGTGTGTTGTAAATGAAGGTGGAGAGGCTAGGGTTGAATGGTTTCTGCAAATGGGAGAGAAAATGGACAGAGGTGGAGCGGCTAGGGTGTGGGAATAATGGAATGAAGCCAAGAAGAAGTTGTCTCGAAATGCCTAATTCGCTTGGTTTAAATAGGGGCTGGAAAGATGCATAAAAGGTAAGTGTTGATGGTGATATAAAAGGCTAGAATCTGATTTAAAGGTATTTCTGAGAATGGCATTTGTTTTGAACTTTGTTTCCTTATTTTCCACCTCCAAATCAGGTTTTCACTACTTTAAAATATGGCTGAGAGGATGACAAACAAGGTAAGTGTTTAAGGTGAGTTAAATGGCTCAAATCTGATGTAAATGGTATTTCCACATATGGCATGTGTTTTGAGCGTTTTTTCCTTGTTTAGAACCACCCAATATGGCCGAATTGCACCACTTTCCTTCCACATCTTTTCCTGAAATTCCAGCAGCCAAATTAGTCCTAGATTCCTCATTTGGACTCCAAATTAACTCCCCAGAATCCTCTCCACGTTTGGAATAATGCTCAGCTACCAAAAGGAGTGTTTTTACTTCATTTGCCTTCCAATTGATCCTATTACACACTTGGCTGCACACTAACACCAAATAATGTAAAATGCAACCAGTTTAATTCAAAAACATCACAAAGAAGCCAAATATGGAAGATATAAATGCATGCAATATGTGAGTTATCAAACTGCAATTGCTAGAAATGGAAAAGGAAAAAAATGTGGAATTAACAAAAACGGGTGTGTATAAATGAATTCTGTAATTTTTTTGTGTTGTTGAGCATTGTATGATCATTCGGTACAACCACCGCTCTTTCTGGCGCAAACGACTACATTAAGAACACAAGAAGAAAGTTAAAAGAAAGAAAACCATAACTGCTATGAGCTCGCCATAAGTTGTACAATCAGGCCAGCCGGATTTCTCTCTCAACAAAATTACTGCGGTTAGGCATCACAAAACATGGTGATGCGCTTATCAATCACTAAGGGGTAGTTTGATAATCATTTCACTTTCAGTTTTTGGTTTTTCTATTTTCGGCCCCTAAAATATCACATTTGCTTTAGAGAACTAACATTATGGACTTGTTTGGATGTTCTTTTAAAATGACTGAAAGCGTTTTTAAGAAACATGTTTTCCAGTTCCAAAAGCACTTGAATGCTTTTTGCAAGCAGAACTATGTGCTTCTTCGAGGAAGCACTTTAAATGCTTTTTCAGGATTTACTTGCATATTTACTAATGATTGGTTCTAAAAACATTTTCACCAAAGTGCTTTCAGTCATTTTAAAAACACATCCACATAAGGTTTATATGACGGTGGTAATACCATCTCTGAATCGGACTGGGATTGACCAAATACAGACCTGCAGAATGTCCAAAGCCACAACTTATTCAAGAGATGTAAGAAATGACGGTAGTAATACCGTCTCCGGATCCAGTAAACCTTCGCTCCTTACAAAAACAATCAGTTTCTCGATATGCATGAGAAACATTTTGTCACAGCGGAGGTGACTTACCCAAACATTTTGTCTTCTTATGGTAAAAACACCTGCAAAATTCAAGCAATCGAAACATATGATACGCAGAACATGTTATGGTACACACAACATGTCTAATGTCGTATTGAAACAGTCCATTTGGTTGTTGGGGCTTCAGACACACACCACCAGTAATATATGAAGCCCATTTCCCATCCATGAAAAGCATTCAGTAAAACTGACATAAGAATAAAGCTAATTATGTTTCAAATACTAAAAAAAATATATATCAAAAAGACGTTCTAAAGACAACCTACCTGCTGTAGGAATGCAGAGTTGCTCGAGCCCATATAGCAAGAATCTACAGGAACCTGCAGTGGATGTAAATCAATGATGCATTTGATATTCGTGACTTCAAGCAACTTTTGGACTTCTGAAATGCCTAACGATGAAAGGGAAAGCAACTGGGAGAAAGGTAAAATGGCTATTTGGCCAAAGAGCTACAGATATTTTTTGTTCTACTCCATCAGGAGAGTAAATTTGGACTTCCAATCGGTTGATTGTATACAATCATCTTTTAGAAGAAAAATTAAAGATTGCCTGTGGCAGTAAGTAAAAAATTTGCAACTTCCAAATAGCGACTTGCCATTTGCAACCAAATATATAATTATTTAAGTACAGATTAGTAAAAAGGACAATAATGAAACAAATCAAAGTGCATTTGACGTTGAAGTATAGCATCCCCAAAAACACTACATGCTTTTCAGAAACAGAAAAATGGATCAAATGCATACCATGGAACGCTGTGCAGAAAATATTGAATTCATGATTGTAACATATCTGATGATCAGTGAACAGATGGCAACATGCCATCGTTGCTCCCAATTAGCCAGACCCTCGATCAACTTTCCTAATATATTTCCTTTTGATTTGTTAGGTTTTCAAGGCATATCGAAAGTATAAGAACAAAAACTAGTTATTATTTTGGTTTTTTTAATTGAACATTTCAAAACAATATGAAGGAGAAGGATAAGCAGAGGCAGAAGGGGGAGGGTTGCGGCAATGGGTGGTCCGGTGACAAGTAAGCAGTCTTGTGAGTTTAAATGAAAGGGAATTCCAACGATTTTAGGTGTAGTGTAATTTGATTATAATTTTTAGGGCAGTTTCTTCTATTTAAGCGTGTTTTTTGCTATAATTGATAGTTTTTATAAAAACTAACATTTATGAAATTATAGGGTAAATATTGGTTATATATGAGAAATTCCCCTACCAAAGGTGCGTAAGAAGTAGAAAATGGTGTGTGACAAGTAAAAAAAGGCGTGTGAATAGGACATCCCTATGTTATTGGTTAATTCCTAGCGTGGGGCGGGACCTTGTGGTGAAACGACATCGCTTTTTCAGTTTTGGCTAAATATTTAATCAGAGCTCGACGTCACTGGTTAGAAATTAAATAATCTTAGGAATTTGTTAATAAACGTCAAAATTTTATAGTAAGCTCCAAGAGAATTCCATGTGATCTAATATCCAAGTGTGTAGAGTGTTGGGTTTCTATATGTGCATCTCGAGTTCGAAATTCACTCCCCTCCCAAATTACTGTAATAATTTCGAATCATCTGCCATTCTTAGACCTACTCCAACTCTAGGAATAAAACTCAAATTTGAGGTTCTAAACCTACCCCAACTTCCTCCAACCCTAGGGCCAAATATGAGTTTTAACTCAAAACTCATTTATGGGGCAAATTTTGGGCAAAATTTCCATCGGGTTAGTGGGTTGGCCCACCATGTATGTGTATTTTATTTTAGTTTTATATTTATAAATTTATTGAATCCAACAGCTAAATACTATTATAATCAAATCCAACAGTAAAAAAAAAAAAAAAAAAAAAAAAGATTTAACGGTCAAAGTTAAATCTAACGGCTTAAATAATTAAAATTGTTAGGATCCTTCCCTGATTTTACAACATTTTATTTTTGAAAGAGTGAATTGACGAAAATGCCCTTAGAGGCGATATTGTTGACTTTTGTTGACAATCATTTCGTGAAGTGTATGAGCTAATATTTTACCATATTTGTGTAGTACTCATTAATACGAACATGTGGGCGTAAGCAGGTTCAAAATCGGAGTTACGATAGAGATTTACAAGACAACGAAGCGAAAGGCAATTTAGTAAATTAATTGTCCTAGATATTTTCTCATTATTTTATTATTGTTTTTGTTTAGTAGGACCCACACACAACCTCTCCCTCACTCCCTTGCCCTGTGGAACTCTTTCCCCGACACTCCTAGACTCTCTCTTCTCTCTATATCTTCTCCCTCATCTATCTCCTCTCTAACACTCTCCCCATCTCTCTCGCTCTAACTCTCTTCTCCCTCAAGCTTACTTAAACTCCCTCTGTTCTTTGCCAACCACGGACCACCACTAGCCTGCCCACTCCGACAACTCGACCCCACCAAACGCCCTCCCTCATCTTTCCTCTATAATCAAAGAAACCACCGTCGACACCTTGTTTTTCGGTGAGCTATTAAATTCCTGACAAGGGTAAGCCTCGGGAACCCTCTATCTCTCTTCTTTTTTCGTCGTTTGTTAAAGAGTTTTTGAGGTTATAGGCCTGTATTTGTGAAGTTTAGGG